ATACTGCAAGGCGGGAGTCATGTTTCACGTGGTCAAATTCGGTCGTTATGTAATAGTACATGCCATATATCACGTTAACCTGAACGTTCGCATAAAAAGGAAAAAAAAAGGATAACATTGAGAGCTTGGGCCGCCTGTGGATGGTTGAATGTCTGCTTTTGTACCTCCTTATCACTTAGCTTTTCAGTGTTCCTGGTTACACAAGTGTCTGAAGATGTTCCTCTCTTCAGTGATCACTACCTGGACTGTCAAACAGTCAATCATTGAATAATCTTTCTTTAATTTTTTCAGATACAGCAAAGATGCTTATGGGTTGTTCATGGGATCTCTGTACCCTATTGTTCTAAGTAAACTACAAGGCTACAGCGACGACTTACTCCAGTGGTATTTTGATCAAGGAAACAATGAAATGTGTGCTAATGAACATCAAGACATAATAGAAAGTGAGTCAGCTCAGATTATAGATGAGGGGTATTCATCAAAGAACACTCAAGTTATGGATCGTCATAATAACTATAGTAATTACTTGGAGGGAATGAGTAACAAGGGAGTAATTAATACCCAGGGATTCAGTTATCTTCATCAGTCATCTGCAACAGTTCAGGGAGACGTGAAGGCTAGTTTTAGCCATGAGAACATCAGACCTTATACAGAGACTACAAAGTCAAACACTTCTGCGACCTCGGATCAGTGCATGCAAAATCGCTTGAGAACTAAACTGGTGCATAATGGGCCACTATCAAATGTCTTCGCAGATGTTAATGACAATTTTGAACAGTTGACAAGCTCGGACATTTCTGACATAGTATCTGGAATGTTAACCATGTTTGAGCTGAATCCAGCTGCACAAAAACTGTTGCCTAATTTGGTTGTTGGCATGAAATACAGAAGGCGAAATTCAAAAGTTCCTGAACTTTTTATAAATGAGGATGATTCGTTTGTCAGCTTGCCCAAGTAAATATATTATTTTGTAAATTACATTATGTACATTAAACCAATTGTTACAAGTTTATTTTGATATGTGATGATAGGCTATAAGCGTCTGGTATTGGTAATAGACTATTAGTCTTCAGACAGTTTGGTTGACTCAATACTAATTTTAGTATGTCAGTTACCTGTTGACGTGTATAATTAGTGTATCAAAACAGAAGTACTTATAGAGGTCTGTTGTTGTTAGCTTCTGTTTAACAGTTGAAAAGAAGAGAAGGAAGTTTGCATTCTGAGTTGAAGTACCATAAAATATATGATTATTACCATTAACTGCTTTAAAAGCTTTACATATACCAAAAAAGGCAGTAGTAGTTTTATCGGGTGTAGGGTAAAGGGCTTTGTGAATCTTTTGATGGCAATCAAAAGAGTAAATCATTTGCTAACAGTCCAAAGATGAATCCAAAAATATCCTGGTTCAGACATTTGTACATAGCTACACTGTATTCAACATATAAAAAGGCCTTGACTGTGCACTGTTCTGTTGTAAAGCAAGCAGGAAGCAGTAGAGCATGAAAGAAGTGTAGGGAGAAACATGAGACATACATAGTCAAGTGTTTCTCCCTACTTCTTGAGTGCTCTACCGCTTCCTAAGTGCTTTAATTACGACAGAACAGAGCACAGTTGAGGTTTCTTTATTTCTTTTATGATAAAAAGAATCCATTAATTTCCCCACACATCCAGCATACATTTTCAACTGTTCTTGGATAAAGCACACTGTTTCATACAATCAGAATGCAGGTTATAGGGAAACTTTATTATTGATGACAAAGTATATAAAAACACGGAAGGAAGTGATATCAGTGCAGAGGAATTGTACTTCAAATTAAAGCTATTTTTAATGGAATGTAATTTTGTGTTGTCTTTGCTTCATTGCTATGCTATGTAGTCATACACTGTATTTACTGTATAAGACATTTTCCTTATAAAATCAATCCAAAGTAATGAAATAAATATCTGGGGCATAATGAAGGGGAAATGTGCTGTTTTTCTTACTTCATTCATAAACATTGGAAGATGAATGTCTAACATCTTACAGTTGTTAAAAATAAATTTGAAAAAAAAAAAAAGAGAGGAACTAGTGTATAACACAGAAAATGGGAGATATAAGAGTAACTATTACATCCAATGTTGTTGATCTTCTTACATGTAAACCAATTTTAATACCCTCCAAAATACCAGAAAAAGTTCTGTATTCTAAATTATATCAAAACTGGCAGTCATGAAAAAGAAATGAGCCTTATAACTTGTCAATGATTCAAATGGCATCTCTTATTTAGCCAGCCAGATAGTCATGTCAGCCAGCCCATGGAAGCTACATGTATAAATACAAGTTCAGCCAGTTGATGGAAGCTACCTTTAACAGTACTCATTGTTAATGAAATACTCTATTTCAACAGTGTGGTTGATTATTTAGTTTGATAAACTTGATACAAAATTTTTAATGTTTGATATCTTGTCGAGGGGAACTTCCCACACACAAGACATGTAAATTAAAGACATGTAAATGAAACTAAGTCATACTCAAAATCATTGTCAATAATCTTTTTTTGTAATAAATGTATGAGCTTGAGGAAAATTCTTTGGAAACAGTAAATTGGGTGGAAATTTTTATGAAGTGACTTGGGTTGGAAATATTCGAATTGGAATTTCCCAAAACGGAAAAAATTAAAGCAAGTAACCTTCAAGAAAGTAATAAAATATTGGTGATAACTGTTCTGTTTCCTGTCTTATCCTTTCCCACGCCACCCCCGCGGAATTCTTTGTTTGTTGAAGATATTCCTTGTGGCCAGCGGCAGTTAAAAGCGACGAAAACAAAAAAAGACTACGTGGAAGTTAATGGTGAGAAGCAGCTGTTACTGAGAAATTTACGTTAAAACACCACTTTTCCTTTTCCTTAGGATTACAAGAATAGTGACAATAGTTAAATTGACGTTCGAGGCCGGAGTCTTGTTGTTATGAGGGATTTTATATTGCTCAACCGCGCCGAGACAGCGTCCATTTGAAAGGTGCTTTTCAGATTTTTCACGCGCCGCAGTGGACTACAGAAGAAATAGTTTCATTTCGCGATTGCCTTTGAGGACAAGGCTTTAAACGGGTATATTCTATGTTGTAATGTCGGCAGACTTGAAGAAAATGCCCTCAAAAGAAGAAGTGGGGGGAAGCAAGATCGAGCTTCGGACTTCATCTGGTACGGTAATTTGTCTGAATTTCTCTGAAAAAGACCAAGTACTTCCGAAGATTGTTCGACTGGTCGACCCAGAAACAGATCACGCGGTTGTGTTTCGGTCGGAAGATGGAGTCTATCACGAACTAGATTCGGACTGTGCGTCGAATCTGCAAGAATTGCAACAAATAAACCATTGTCACCATTGCAACTGCGGTGATGGAAACGAACAATCTGCAAACGCGAATGCCGACGTCCGGAAGAACGACGAGAGGCTCGAAAAACAGCGGGAAAAACTGCAGAAGAAACTGCGGGAAAGAAAGGCGAGCAACCAAGATGACGAAAACTGTAATGGCCATTGCCATCAAGTTATTCAACTGCCGATCCAAGGACTAAAACAGTATGTACGAGTTAATTCAGCTGGCTGTATGAATGGAGAGAGCAAAATGAACTCTTCTAAAGATGGTAATTACAGCATGAATCTTAATCCTTATGTTTTCGCTTTAATTGTTCGATAAAGTATACAAAATTCTTTGTTAGCAGCTAATTTGACAGGTTAAACTTATTTTAACGCTTAAAAACTTTTGATCTTAGATTTGGTTTGGTCTGTTTCTTTGAGGAGTTTTTTTTTTCTTGAGATTATGTTATTGAAGTCCGGGTGCCATGATGCTATATGATCCTGTCATATCGTGAAATAACTCCGTGAAATACATCTCATTGTTTGAATATGGGAAATTTCTTTTGCTTATAAGCTTTTTTTGTCTGCCTCCCGTTTGCTATTTCTGTCGTGGTCTAGCAGACTGAAACGACAAAAACAGTCAAACAAGAAACGATTAAAAATGAAAATCGCGCTATAAGTTGGTGTGGAAGTTGACACTGGTAAACTGACAGATTATTCCCCTTTTCTTTGTGATACAGATTCTACATCGGACTCAAAGCCAGCTAAAGGTATTTATAGTAAATGTGCTTCTGTTTATAATCTTTGATGTTTCTTTTGATCTTTGTTAACAAATAGCTTTATAAGTTATAAATGACTATCGTAGTGAATTACGCTTGTACTTCTGCCAGTACATGTATTTACCTGTGTCACGGATGACGTGCCATGGAGAAAGGTTTGAAAATAGATTCTTTTTGTTTTGCATTATGTATAATTAAAAATATCTTGGGGGAGTTTCAGGGAAATCTAAAAGAGGAACAAGTCATAAGGTTGTTCCGTCCTACATTTTTATTTGTAGTTTCGTAATATCACAAACTTCCTAGATGAATGTACAATTTTTATGTCTTTTTTCAGACATAAATTGACCAGTAGATAGAAGTCTGAAAAAATTTAACCTGGCTCCTGTGTTTTCTAAGATATGCAAAAACAAAAGCAGAGAATCTGCAGTACATTTATATTATAGTACACAATTATTTGTCTCAGTTTAGACTTTTTAAATCAGATTTATAAATACTAAAATTAAAATATGAAGCTGCTCTCAGGCTTACTGCTTACTGTAGTTCAAACTGGGGTGCTAACTATTTTGTTTATTGTGTAAAATAACCAAGATTTCTTTTCTTATTGCTCACGGATCAAAGTAAGAGAAGGAGTATAGATATATGAAACATGAGATATGTGGACCTGTGCAGTCTTGATGATAAATTGAAACTGACCCAGTGAAAGAGAATTTGTTTGAAAATATTTTCATATGCTGATTCCAAGGGGTTACTATATATATGGTCCTGGACAAGCAGATGCAAAGAATCGTGTGGGGCTGGCTTGTTATCGGTGAATTTGAGAGTTTAAAGGTTTTGAAATTGGCCCATTGAAATAAAAAAGATACCTGCAGGTATCAATAAGGATGGAAAATTTAGTTATTGTGTCAAGATTGGAGCAAGGGTGTCAAAAATGGTCTTGAGCAATTTACTAAAAAGCTGCATTTATTGCTCATGCGCAGTATGGCGCATGAGTTAAGGATAATAAATAAATGCTATAACTTATGTTTTGGCGTTATCTTGTCGCCATTATCAAATGCAGATTAAAGTCGTTCAGTTCAGTTATAGTTATATACTAGCTTAGGTGTTAAGAAGGAATCCACCAAAAGTTCAAGTAACAAGTGGGCTAAAACTTTTTACCGAGATTATTGGAAACTTCTGTGCGACTCTTTAAATATCTTCTCAAAAGAAATCATTTCTAACAACACCAAATATAGAAAATAAATTTTGAAGTAATATATGAAACACTTAAAAGTACTGGTGAAATGAAACTGATGATGAAATTTTACCTGTGTTTTACCTGACAATTCCTCTGAACTTTGAAATTTACTTGCTTGAGTTCCCATGAGAAAGTGTTTTTGTGTTATTTCAGACAACTGTTTATATCTTTAGCTTTTAGAAAATGCAAAAAGGAGTGTAATATACTTAAAGTTATTCTGGTACAAGGTAAATAAGGCAAAGTTGATATTTGTTACAACGGCCCAGCACTGGAATATATTCGTAACAACCAACATAAACAAGTCTAACACTTGAACAAAAAATGCCTAAAGAGATTTTGTTCAGAATTGCTATGAAAGAAAGATATTTCATCCAATTCGCAATTCTGATCGTTTGTTAATTCTCTATCTATAATTTTTTGACTTGGCTTGCCTTGTTATTTGCCTGACGATATCCTTGTAATNTATAATTTTTCGACTCGGCTTGCTCTGTTATTCGCCTGACGATATCCTTGTAATAAAGATGGCATATTGCGTTGCAGCATTTATCTTCTCTCCTGCATCTTAATTATCTATATCTTAGATCTATGATGCACTTTTTTCAAATTAGCATTTCTCCTGTATCATTACTAGTTGTCAGATGGCAAACGTTTTCAAATTGCTTGTCTGACTATGTACGCATTGCGTATCTACTTTATATGACTTGTATTCTCTTGCGCATGAGTATAGGCTACTCGGCGCCTCTTGTTGATCTTTGCATTGTTGTGTGGCAACTGTTGTTGTACAAGTACATACATATACAGATCTGTAAAATTCTTTTTTTTTAAGGAAATATCTTGTTCAAATTTTATGCATTCCTCTCTTATTTGGCACAAATTCTTGCTTGTCAGAGTTAGCCGAACTGAAGTTGTATTTCCTCAATCAAAATGCTTTATGTAGCCAAAACTCTAGGTGATAAAAATAACTGCATAATAATGTAACACTGTGCTCAAATAAAATACTGGAATGAAGTAAATGCAAGGTCCACAATGCTAAATGTGAAATTAACATGGGTGAGGGTTTAATGGAGAAAATATCAAACAATAAAAAAAGTTATGTCAGCTAGGCATCCTTGTTAATACTGCTAGTCAGTTTGTTCATGTGTCATTGACTGGATGTGATACTGACAATACATGTGGTACAATACTGAAGAATTGGGTCATGCTGAGGATGTTGCTTTTGAGTTATGGATGCACGGACAATTTGGAGAGCACAAGAGAAGCCAAGAGTTACTAAAGGCGTCACTGAGAGCAATAAATTGGACACATAGCTTCCTGAGTGCTCTCCAAACTACTGAGCATGTTCATAACTTGATAGGTAAGATAAAGTCTGTATACATGAGCTAGGTGGAATATCAGGCCAAAACTTATCCCAGTTTCCATTGTATGAAGCAGCTAAGAGTTTTTCTAGTCACCCCTGGATGGAATGCTAGTCCGTTGCAGGATTACCCCCAACATTAAGTTTGCCAGTACTCATTTACACGTACACACCTGGGTGGAGAGAGACACTGTGAGAGTAAAGTGTCTTGCCCAAGAATACAACACAATGTCCCTGGCTAGAACTCGAACCTGCACCACTTGCATCCAGAGGCGAGCCCACTAACCATGAGGCCACCACACTTCCCATAACTCGATAGATGTACAGCTAAAGACAAGAACCAATTCTTCAACAATGTAGTGACATTGATTGTGAATAAGTAAGAAACAGCTTTATTCTTGGTGATGAAATTAAGTTCTCTTTTGTGAATAGTACAGACAAACACACTCTCTCTGCTCCAGTTCTCTGTCTTCGTCAATACTTTGTGAGGCTAGAATTCCTGCTGAAAGAACTTCACATTTGTTATAGTAACCATTTCAAATATCAATTTTATTTTTTGGTTAAAGCAAGTGAAAACGAATTTTTGTTATTGTGGTGATTTGCACACATCATTTTTTTTTTTGCTTTGATTATCATGTTTTCATTCAGTAAATGAATATTAAAATAGAAATTTGAGACAATCCCTCAACATCTTATTCATTTTGAGAATAATATGCTTAAAAAACATGGTTTTATTTTTGAATACCAGACTCTTGTCTATTGTTCTTACTAACAACATCCATTGATGGAATAGTTTCTTTTTTATAATTCTTCAAAGAAAACCTCTGTTAAGCAGGAGAATAGTGGTTTAATTACTATACAAATAAAATTCCAGAAGCAATGACCTGTTACCATAGTAAAACCAGCTTTGGTATACCGACTGCCTTAGATTGTGAAATACAACATGTGTCCTTATCTAAACATATCATAGTAGAAAAAAAAAATTGCTTGAATATGTAGTCTTGATATGACATTCCAACAAGTTAGTAGCCATGGAAATGTCCATTCTTGTTACAAGTTGGATATAAATCAATTTTCTTTCCACCAAATAGATTTTAAACACAGTTTATGGTTTTTCTTTATCAACGTATTTATTATTTTCAGAATTTAAGCTGTTAAAGGCCATATTTACTAATTAAATCAAATAGTATTTTTTTAAAAGCATAATTAAAACATCACATTTTGTTTTGAAACATCTGTTACCCAGGATATAATTATTTCAAGCCAGTTAAAAGGTTTTGTTTGAAAGAATCCCTCAATACACTGTAGAACTTTGTCTGATATATTTTTTCAAATCCTGCTCTATCAGTGTTTTGTCTTTGCTATAGATTCTACCTGAACACATGATTAACTTTAAAATATCTACGAAGTAACCATCAGCTCTACCAACCTGCAAGCCCTAGTCTGGAAATTAGAATTAGTTATTACATATTTAATTTCCAGCACTGTAATATTTTTTTGTGAATTTATTTATCATTGATGTACATGCTGTGCAAGGTAGTAAATATGGAGCATTCCCTCTTCCTGCATTGCAGGTTAGGTAGCTTTTCCTAAGTGTGCATAGGAAGTTTGATTTGTTTATTGTCTTAGCTGTGATTATCATCACAAAGAGAGGAGAAAGTAATAATTTTGAAAGAGTAACTTACATGTAACATTAAACTGCATAATAATATTTTGTAGGAAGTCGTTTTTTCCCTAGTTGAAGGAAAACCTTTTTTTTGTAGCCTGAATTAACTTTGCAGTATGTTGTTTTGATCTATAGCTTGAACGCATTGTGTTAATGTTCCAATTGCTTTGATTCTTCTCTGTTTACTCGGAGGCCTCATTCTGTTTGTGATTCTTTCTGGTTTCTTGTTTATAGAGAAAAGTATGTCGGAAGAGCTGAAGATTCAAAAGGCACCTGAGGTGAGCTTGATCAATAGAGCAGTAATGTTTGTTTCTCTTCGTATAATTCCAGTTTGTGATGTCACTGAGGCTCACCCAAAAATACACAGTAATGAATATCTGTTCGAATGACAAAAACCTGTTTGCTTGCCAGTTGTCATCTATCCAAGATGGCTGGGGTTATCCATTCCAAAAAATATTCAGCCTTTCAAATGGCAGCTGCTATCCATTCCAAAAAATATTCATTCATTTAGACTGGAAGAGGTTTTCCGTTCATAAAACAAAAACATTCAGCTGTTTCCTTACTCACTCGATGCTGCCGTCTGTTTGAAAAATATAATTTAGCTACTGAGCCATTTACAGCCATCCGTTCAATTCTTTTTCTTTGGCCGGTCCAATGGCTGGCATTCTCTGTTCAAAATTTTTCTTTAGTTGTTCAAATGGCTGCAAAGTTGATTTTGCTTTGATGAATTTGACTAAAATTCGTCAAAATCATCAACTCCGCCAAGCTGATTTTGCTTTGAAGAATTTGGCTAAAATTCGTCAAAATCATCAATTCCACCAAGCTGATTTTAAGCTGATTTTGTTTTGGCGATTTTGACTAAAATTCAACAAAATCATCAATTCTGCCAAGCTGATTTTGCTTTGACAAACTTGACTAAAATTCGTCAAAAGCACCATGCACTCAAAATTTTACTTTAGCCATTCAAACAGCAGGCATCATCCATTCAAAATTTTTCTCTAGCCATTTATGTGGCTGGCATCATGTATTTGAATTTCTTTCTAGCAGTTCAAACGGCTGGCATCTTCCCTGCAAAATATTTTCTAAGCCCTCTCAAAGGCTGCTTGAAATTGCGACTAACTGGTCGCCAATGTGACCAAAAATCGGGTGTTGGCGACCAGATATTCAGAACTGGTCACCAGTGGGCGATTCACCTTTTCTTCCATCAACCTTTTAACCCCAAAGTGTAAATGACATTACTTGTGGATGAAAGGTACAATTTATTTGAATAGATATAGTAAACCAAACCCGCGATTCTTTGATCGCCAACTGTATCGCCATGTTTGATTCAGCAGCTTCTTTATTTTAAGGGACACTAAAGTAAATGATCCTCTCACATCGGAAAACTTCGAAATGGCTACCCCTGTTTGAAATCACCCTATAATGCATTGCAAACCCTTGAGCATTGAGTATGTCATGTATGCCTAGACAAGTTGCGTCTCTTCTATCTGGCAACTGGAAATTTGAATTTGGCGACTATTTTTTACCACTGGCGACTTAAGGATTTTTTAATTTCGAGCCCTGCATCTGAACCATTACAGGATGGACATCCTTTTTTTTTCCTTGGCCACTTGAACAGTACAGTACTGTATTTGAAACCACTTTCTGATGCATTTTCAACCTCACAACTGAGGCTGGGGGAAATATTTTGCTCTGACATGGCTCAAACAATACTTGAAAGAAACTGGAATCACCACCACATACTAAAATTTTTTTAGGAGGTTAGGGGAAGAGTAAGATTGCACTGCATGATGGGAAGGCTGGGTGCAATAGCATCGAGTATACAACAGTTTTCCCTTGTTCTGATTGGCCACATTTTCTATGGCATGGTACAAATAATTGAATATTCTTCCATGAACACGTAGTGTTACATGTGTACATATGAAATGTTAATGAGTAAAGAAAAATTGAAAACTTGTCATCTTGTTTTCATCCAAAACATTGACAGTTCCCTCGTGCAGTGTATGGTTCATTGTAACTTCTTGTATCAACCATCGTTTGAACTCTCTTTCCCACTTACCATTGGTTTACACTGTAACACTAGATGTACATACATAAAAACACTGTACATGTAAACATTCTTGCTCACCTAATTGTTTGCTATGAAGCCCCTTTTTTGAGATAACGCAATAATTTTCATGGGTGCATAAAGGGCTGTTAGCTGGTCAAAACCACCAGCTATCAGCCACCTTTGAACAGCTGTCTACATGTCCTTTTGTCTCATTGTACCATCACATCTGATGAAAAGTCTGTCAGTTATTAATAAAAGGAACTTGTAAATAATCTGTTTCACAGTTTTAAGTCGCAATCAATGCCTTTTTAACAGGTGTACAAATTAGATGGGCAAATTGATTCCACCATCATTGTATAGTTTGCTTGATATTTGTCCAAGCGCTGTTGAACGTCTGCAACATTAACAACAATATTTTCCAGTATTACGTGCAATCTACTGAAACAGCAAGGCATTTCAGCTCAATGTGGCCACTGCTGGGGTCGCCAATGCAACCAATTTTTTTTCACTGATTTTTTCATGATTTTCACTGAAATGCACTTGCTGGCGACTACATGTAAATTTGAAAACTTAGGGGACAGCTGGCCCCAAGGTTTTTTCCTCAAAGTCGTCCCTGCATTTGCACTGAAGAGGGCAGGGGTTATCGAGATTCTAGGTTTCAAAATTTTCTGGGGAGGGCATGGGAGTGTGCATTCTTGAGGAACAGGGCACAGGGCTACCATGGCCTCTTACTATTTCTTATAAGCCTTCTTCTTTAAAACTAAGAGTGATGGCCTTGAATTTAATAACTATTAATAGAATGTTGTTACTGATTTCTAGATTGAAGTTTTAAACTGCTCAACAGTGAAAGTGTCGTGGGCAGGGCAAGTTAGTAACAACAGTCATCTTACTGGATGCAGTTTTGACCTGCAAATGTTCTCCAAGGCATCACCTTATAATTCAATTTACAGGTACATATATGAAATCCCTTGCTACAGTCCTGGCCAAGAGATACATGTAGAAGGTCACAACTTAAGTTTCCCAAATATTTACATGTAAACTTTGGTGTCATGTTGTTGCAGTGCTAATTTGTACATATATGTATTTTCGTAAGAAATACATTGTTGTGTGGTTTTACCGTAAGTTGAAGTTCTCTTTGATAAAATACTTTTTTGTTTTCTGTTAGTGGTTCGTCTAAGGAGTTTATTGTTAAAGAACTCAGACCTGGAACTCAGTACAAGTTCAGGTTAGTTTTTTAGTTTTAGCTTTGCTGCGTGTATCTCCAGGTGTTTCCTAAGGACAGTGAGGGGTGGTGAATGCTCCTCCAAAAACCATATCTTGCACGGGTCTCGCAGTCTCTTTTTATCAGCAGCATGTCCATCTTGCATTCCTGGAGTGTTGAATTTTTGCAAGGCTGAGAAAGTCTTGATTGATTTGTTTTGTTTTTTTAATGATGTCCGAAGGTCTAGAGTCTGAATGTATCACTCTCGCATTTAAAACAGTTTGAAGTCTCACTCTTGAAAATGAAAAAGTCCAATGTTGTAGCTTGTAAAGTAAAACACTAGCCTTGTCTTCTCAAATTTACCATTCACCACCCCCACAGTTCTTAGTTGGGGTTCTAGCTCTAGGGAGGGCGCTTATTGGAGAGCGGGCACTTTGGAAAAACTAACTGTTCTTAATTTAAGCTGAAAACTTATTTATTTCATGTAGCTTTTAAAGCATGTCCTGCTTGATATTCACTCTTAAATTTAGTATTACTAATTAAGTTTATTATCATTATTATGAATGTTCTATTTTATCAATATACACTGTACATGTAATTAGTTTTACAAATTTGAATTTTATTGTAGTATTTTAAGTTGTGAAGCGCTGTTGGTCAGCGAATGTAAATAGTGCTCTAAAAGTTATTAAATTATTGTTGTTGTTGTTGTTGTTGTTGTTGTTATTATTATAAGTGTTATTGTAATGGTTGGTAGGTGCTTATTTCTTTTTGGATATAAACACTTGAACAATGTAAAACAAAGAAAACTTCTTGTTTTAAGGAATAGTGTCCTAACCAGGAAACTATCTTATTGTTAAACTCTGGATCTACATGTACCCAATCACTAATGCCATTAATGACACAAGGAAACTAATCAAAATTTGCAGTAAAGCCTTCTATTGAAGCAAAAATAATATTATTGATGATTCTTTTTGCTTCACTTTTTATACTACATTGGCCAAACCAATATGTTTAACACTGCAGTGATTGATTGCTAGCTCTTGCAAAACATTCTGTACTCATTTGTAGACATACAGGTGGGAGAAAATAATCTGAAAGAAGAAGACAGTCATTCAATTGATGCATGTGTTGTGGCAATATTTTGACAGATTACAAGCTAAGAAGGATGATGATGAGGGAGAATTTTCTCCAGAAGTTACCTGTGATATGCCGTGTTCTGTACCCTCCACACCTAATCAGCCTCATCTTGGAAGCAAGACAAAAACCAGCTTCACAGTCAAGTGGACGGTTAGTACCTATACTTTCTCTTGTAATTAGTATTACATTGAAGAGGGTCGTACAGTATTCTCATGATACATGATTTGCTGAATTTACTTTCCGTGAAACGTGAATTAAAGAAATTATTCTTTGTGATCTGTGACCAGAAGGTTTTGTGCACCCCGTGAAGAACTTGAATTACTAACCAATATTCATGATTTCACTACTCTATTCTACGTCATTTTGAGACGTGAGTCCTCTGAATGGTTAGAGTCGTCTATTGAAAGTGATTTGGGTATGTGATTTGCAATAAGGAGCATTTACTTAGCCTTTCATGATTTTGCTTTCTTCATACACTCTTCTAGCATAAGAGCAGGTTACTAAAAAAGGTACCTTACTTGCTTACGTTCGTGATTCAGGAAAATGAGATTTTGATATCCGTGATCCGTGATTTGCTATTTTTTCCACCTGAGAACCATGCCAGAGACCTCCCCTGTAAGACCCTCGATGAATTTTCTCTGTACCTACTTTCAATATCAAAATTTCTCCTTTCTATTTTACCATACATCTCTTTTTACTGAACTTTTAATTTGATTTTGCCACTAACAAGGAATTTGATGGTATAACTTATTACACATAGTGTCGCCAGTAAGTGAATATTCAAGCAGCATTGCAATTATTTTTGTATTGATCACTTTTCAACCTTACAAGGTTGACTAGAAAGGTCTGTACTGTGGCTGTGGACAAAGCTGGCATCCACAAATGAAAATGTCAAAAAAATAAAACTTTATCTAACTGTCTACTTGTCTCACGAAATTGATGTCAAAAAGAGTAACAGAAAGATGCACTTTTAGCTTAGAACTCACTCTACCCAGAAATTGGTAGCAAAAACTAAAAAAAAAATAAAATGACCCAAAATGACCCAGCCTTTACTTTCTACTAATACCCCAGCCACGAGTATAAAGAAAAACATCCATTGTCTTGTTTTGTTCCATCACTAGTAGAAACCTAACTTTATTATTAACATTTTTCTTTCTTTCACTCAGGCACCATCGGATAATGGCTCTCCAATCACATTGTACAGACTGGAATGGAATAAGGGTGAAAAGGGTGGCCCATACACAGAGGCCTACTGTGGGCCCCAGAGACAGTTCAAACTGACACATAAGCTCCCTCCTGCCACGCCCTGTTCATTCAGACTGCAGGCGGTGAACAGCATAGGAGCAAGGTGTGTACAAATTATTTAAGAAATAGAAAACATGTACCGTGTTTCTATCGAGTTTTAGAAACACGAGTGGAAGTTTGGGAGAACGAGAAATGCTCGCCTGCGGCTCGTGTTCCCACAGCTTTTTCGAGTTCTCCCAAACTTTCACAAGTGTTTTTATAACTTGATAGAAACACGGAGAACATGTTTTTTATTCCTTTTAGAAAACACCGCGACGAAAAAAAAGGAAATCAACTTGTTAACTTTGATTATCAAAATGTAAATTCTTTTTGCTCGCGCCATCATTACGTCAACAGCTCGTGCTAGCTCTGTGTTTCTATCGAGTCATAGAAACACGATTTTTAACCAATCAGTGCGCGTATTTTCTTAGGACTGTTTTCTAAATGCTGTTACAGTAATACTGTGTGTACATAGTTTTGTCTGTAAAATTAAGGAGTCAGGTCTGAAGTTTGCTGGGCGCCAGGAAAATTGACTGGCTGTGAGGATTATTTTGCCTGCCTGGTTTGACCATCTTTATAAAGAGTAAAAAGAAATTCAAATTCTCATAAAGAAATTCAGTTCAAAAAGGTTTACCTGTCTGTTAAAACGAGTCGCCTTCCCGCTGAAATCATTAATTAAACCCCCGCCTTCCTTTCTTCCTTCGTTTTTTTTAAAAGTTATCATTGATTCTTCATTCCACCTTAAAAATGTAGCCTGTTTATCTGCTTCCTTTATTTCATACCGACATACTTTCTTTCTCATAACTGCAGTAAATTCAGCAAAGAGTTAAAGTGCATAACCAGTGCAGGAGCACCATCAGCACCCTCATCTCCCAAGCTAGACAAGGCAGGCGTCAACTTCATTAGTCTGTCATGGAGTAAACCAGAATCCAAAGGAGCTGAGATCTCAGAGTATTTATTGGAAATGGAAGATGATACTACGGTGAGTGACAGATCTCTAGGGTAGACTAGTGAAGTCTGATTTCAACAGCAGTTTGAGTAAGAATTTCATGGCTTTTTTAATGTTACAAGTAGACCTTGATGATTGGCCTAGTTAAGATATACATTAATAGGTTCCTGCTCTATACAACTACTTCAGCTTCTTGTCAGTAATAGATTTCGTACAGCTACTTAACATTCATGCAGTGATTCTCGAGAGAAACGAGAATTGTCTTGCGAGAAACGAGACAAGAGGTGGTACATGTAACTGTGCGTTTGAGTGGTACAGTACATCTGATAATATCAGTTTTTATTGATACTGAAGTAATTACATGTAAAACACATTTTACTACCAATGATTGCGTACAGTAGAATGGACTTGTTAGTACGAGTGAAAAAGGGCACTGTGCTGTAATAGTGTTCTGCCCTGTGCAGTCTTGCAACCAGCCATCTTTTTTATGATCATGTCCAACATTTCAGGGCTATGGGTTCCGTGTGGTGTATCGAGGAATAGAAAACTCTTGTGTGATCGATAAACTACAGAGAAATACTTGCTACAAGTTCAGGGTAAGTATTGGTAGAAAAAAAAATCGTATTCACCGTCGAAGCAAGCTAACAGGAATAGTGTTGTTTATTACAAGTTTTAAAGGAATAGAACGATTTCAAAGACGCATCATGTGCACTGCTCTTGCAAACAGTCCCCGCTACAACATTCCTTCGTGTACACCAGCTTGCGTATTGTCCCTGCAACACGCACCTTATAAGTAGACATGAAGGGGCTTGTCCTCACTTCACGTCCCCGAAAAATGTCCCCAAGTGTATGCCGACATACTTGAGGACACTTGGGAAATTCCCTCTCCTCTTGAGATGCATGTACATGTGTGTGGTTCTTCCTATGAACCAGTGTGCTGCATTACTCATACCATCTAGCCAGCGCTGTTTTTGTTTGTACACTGATTGTGCCTGAAACAAGACACTTCCTTGACTTGTAGGATGAATTTTGATGCATCAAACAATACATGTGTCCAAGTGTGTGCCGACCTCTACGGAGTTTATAATGTCGATCTCCTCGTGAGATACATGTGTGTGGTTCTTCGTGTGAACCAGTTTGCTGCATTACTCATTTGACCTTCCAGCCAGCACTGTTTTTGTTTGTTTTCTGACTGCTGGTGCTTTCCATTTGATGAAAAATTTCTGGAAATTTCCCGTGACAAATGGAACAACAGCGTTTTTTAGAATTTCCGGAAACTGAGAGGACGACCTTGCTAGGTATTCCGAACCATTTGTCCCCGTTTCGAAATTTTCCGAATTTTTGGTTGAATGGAAAGCGCCTTGTGCCTGAAACAGAACACATCCTTGTAGGATGAATTTTTACACATCAAGCAATACATGTTACCCTAGCTAACCTGTTTACTATGGATTTCCTGACTATCGCTTCATTCATGATTACCCAGCGAGATGTGTACCACACTTTAATGATGGTGTATTCTGTTGACAGCTGCTGGCATCTAATTCACAAGGAAAGAGCAAATGGAGTGATACTGTGATGTTTGACACTTGCCCTGAAAGACCAGGTAAGTATTTCGATCACACAAAAAAATTTTGAATGATCAATTTAGATAGCGCATGTACAACTTTGCCGCATGTGACAAGTTATCAGCAAATGCATGACACAGATTGTTTCATNAGGGCTCGAACCCGGACCGCTCGATGCGGAGACGAGCGCACTAACCATGAGGCCACCGCGCCTCCACTACTAGAAGTAGGGTACGTAGAAGTACTCCTAGTCGCTTCGTGCTACAGAAGCCGGAGATAGGCACCGGCGTGATGGGCCACTTCGCTCGTACAGTATGTAGGCTTTTACTATGGTCAGTATGTAAAGCTCAACACACGATTATTTGATTTTGTCTCCTGTTTAGGTCAGCCATCACCTCCTGTGCTCGAAGGAAAAGTTCGATCTTCAGGATTTACTGTGTCATGGGGTAATTAATCAAAACAAGATAATTCAATTGTAGTCTAACAAGTGGTTTATCACTTGAGAGCTTATGAGCAAACTGTGACGGCGACGCTAACGAGAAGGTCACCAAACAAAAGATTTAACGAACAGAACAATGGCTGTACACATGCGTTTAATTTTTAGTCTATCTCTTAGCCGTTGTCTGCACAACAGCAATGTGTTTTAGGTTTGCGTATCTTGGACAACATGAAGCACGAAGAGCAATTTGTCATATTTTGTTTTGGAATTGAACGCTATCATTGCATAGTTGCTAAGTTTGAGGACGTTTTTAGACCGGTATACATGTGAAGCCTGTACTGAACAGGTCCCGGTTTTTCAAAGGGTGGATAACGCTATCCACCGGATAAATAACTATCCAGCGGATGGCGTGGTTTGTTTTGTTAACACTTATCCACTGGATAGCGATTTATCTGGTGGATAGTCTCCAGCCCCAGCCTTTAAACGACTAGGGCCAGGTGTAGATAATTGCAAAATTCAAATTTAAAATATAAATTCAATACTTACCATGCTCCATTCTCGTCGTCGCTCTCATCACTGCTTAAGCTCCCCACTATTACGCGTGAATCGATTCAAAGAATATGTTCACTAACACCATAGGTACATATACGCATGGCTGTTAGCATGCATGGCTTGCCTATGATTCCGTTTGTTGTACAACAAACAGAAGTAAGATGATTGCAGCTTTAATTTTAGAATTGACAAAGGTATTAGTTTCTAAAGAAACTCGGTGTTCACTCGCGTCGACGGCCAAGACAGGGCAACACGGGCAACACTTAAGCCCAGGTCAAACGTCGAACTTCACACGAGGCGAGCTAAATTGCAATTTGAGTCGATCCAAACGGGTAAAGTTCGGCCGTTGGGTCGAACTTCAAACTTAATTCGAATTTAGATCGACCAACGCATTCTATCATTCTACTTTAGACGGATAGAAGGTGTTGGTCGATCTAAATTCAGTCGGACGGACTCGGTTGGGTCAAACGTCGAACTTATCATGAACTTAATTCGTTCAGTTTAGTTCACGAGTCTCGTGTGGAGTTCGACGTTTGACCTGGGCCTTCGCTGTTTATCAACTGAAATTACAAATAAACTAACCCTCGAGGCGAATTTAGAAGCCATTTCGAACAGCCATCTAACAGTTTGACTTGTGTTTAGATCCACCATCAGATACCGGAGGGTCAGAGATCACAGCTCACATATTAGAAGCGGATGACGGCAAAGGTACTGAACTAATTCACTTACAGACACCTTATTTATCAATGTAAATTGGGACCACTGAAGCTTACAATCGTTAATGGATTCTACTACAAAGCGGATTTAGAGTGGTTTTCACTTGAAGGTATAAAGTAAATGGAATTTGCTTTTTCGCCACTAAGCGACAACGCGACTTCAAGGAAGAAGTTTTTGAGGTCGTTGTTCGTGATGTTGGTGATAAATAGTGCATAGCAAGTTATGCTGAGATAAAGAAGGGATTGCAGCTCATTGAAAAGAAGAGTGTAACCATGTTTAAGAAAACGTAAATTTCCTTAACAGGAACAGAAACATAGAAAATTCATCATAACCATTACGGAAAATTAATGATATTGCGTCCTTGTGACAATTTTAAAGCCAAAATGGCGGTATTTTTCAACGCTCAACAAAAATTGAACTTTCCCCTAAACTCAGAATAAATTTTTACTCGTATCACAGAACCACAAACCTGGTGAAAACATTTTGTGTCATATACACCTAAGGATTATGTTTCAGACGTTTCCTTTGTTTTCTCCAGGAGGGCAGTTTGTTGAGGTGTATAGAGGACTGGACCGCGAGTACACTTTTACTGGCTTGTCTCCTGGGCACTTGTACAGAATCCGTTTCGCAGCACTTAGTGATGGGGGCATCAGTGAGGTGAGCTGACAGTTTGGTTAGAAAAATTGTTAAGTTGCTTAATGCGACATCAGAGGCGCGGTGTCCTGATGGTTAGCGCCGGCGCAGTACTCTGGATCGAGCGGTCCTGCGACCCCTTTTTCGAAAGTCTCGGTAGTTCCGGTTCCGAATTTGTTGTTGTTGTTGCTGCCGTGTTTACAATCAAGACCGAGATATTAATAATTTTGAAATTCAAACAACAAAATTATCAGGAAAAGAAACAGAATGAACTGTTTTTTAAGCTGAAACCCCTTGGATTTAGATCATAAAATATGGCCTTGGGTCCGTTAAGCTACCGGGGGTTCCAACCCTAGTCGGGGACATTGTGTTGTGTTCTTGGGCAAGGCACTTTGATCTCACAGTGCTTCTCTTCACTCAGGTGTATAAGTTGGCACCGGCGAATTTAGTTCTGGGGGTGGGGGAGAAACCATGTGATGGACTAGAATCCCATCCAGGGGAGTAGAAATACTCACCTAGTTGCTTCATGCTACGGAAACCGGGATAAGCCAAGGCTTTGTGAGAACATTTCACCACGCCGTCTTGGTTATGAGTTTTTGTGGCAGGATGTTAAAGTTTCGTCTCTTTCTTATCTTTCAGTGGTCCAAAGTGAAGAAAATCAAGACATCAGCAGTCATACCCGGCCAAGCCAACCCACCAGTCTTATCAAAGAATCACAAACCTCAACCCAATACCCTGGATCTTCGTTGGGGTAAGCTTACAGTATCTCCTCAAACGAGTGTAACCGTTTGCTGTACAACGCACTTAGTGTACGTTTGGCAATGTTACATTTGGAAATGAAGTACAATGCAATCCCGAGTTCTCGAACTCTGGATTTTTCGAATCTTCCGTTAACTCGAACCAAAAGTCATTTCCCTCCCCTCAGTCCAACGCTGTAATTTTACCCCCGATTTCTCAAACTACCTGATTTTCGTTTCCATTGGAGGCTCGAAAAATCGGGATTCCACTAAATCTGAATTTAGAGAATGTTTACTCAAATGGAAGTACGTGTTTGCATTTAATTTTTGGCCACTGGCCACCAGTTTAGTTACTGGACTGAAACACTATGATAAATGTGAGCTGACTTTCTTCTTGGCAGATCCACCCAGCTATGATGGTGGTGCCGCGATATCAGGCTACGTCATGGAAATGGAGAACCCTGTAACAAAAGGTCAGAATGCCACTTTTGTTTTGTACTTTGCAGTTGGAATCAAAATATTAATCTAAGAACTTTAAAGATGTGACTTCGGATAACAAACTATATTCGTCTCTAAGCCTGAGTATATTGAAAGCAATTTGCAATTTGCTGCAGTGTAGCGAAAGTGTGGCAAAGGTGTGCTCCGCTCACCTAGCACCATGCAGATACAGTAAAAGTAGGATAACAACTCCCAACAGTAAAGATAACATTTTACGATTGTTAACAGATCCCGAAAGTAGTGAAACTTCGTGAAAAAACGACAACCGGAAAAGCGCTACATCCAAAGGAACTTTCCTGGGTGCTGATGTTTCTCATTGGAAATAACAAATACCAGTTGTACCATTATTTTTATTATTATTATTATTATTATTATTATTTTTATTTTTATTTATTTATTATTTTCAGCAGCATTGCTTCTTTTGAGCTCTGTGTAATATGGAAAATATTCTTACTAGTGTTTAACATTAGATTTTGAGCTCAAGATTTCTATGATGTGTAGAAATCGAGAGCGAATAATCTAATTATTTTAGTATAAATCTACTAGTCGTTCAAATCGATCTCTAAATTCTCTCATTAGACACTTCGAAAACGCAAAGTAGCGGCCGCCAGTTCGTTAAAATCCGCACACTGCTAGGCGAGTCACTATCTACAACAGAATAGATAGTGAGCAGCGTNAAACACTATGATAAATGTGAGCTGACTTTCTTCTTGGCAGATCCACCCAGCTATGATGGTGGTGCCGCGATATCAGGCTACATCATGGAAATGGAGAACCCTGTAACAAAAGGTCAGAATTCCACTTTTGTTTTGTACTTTGCAGCTCGAATCAAAATATTAATCTAAGAACTTTAAAGATGTGACTTCGGATAACACACTATATTCGTCTCTAAGCCTGAGTCTCTAAGCAATTTGCAATTTGCAATTTGCTGCAGTGTAGAGAAAGTGTGGCAAAGGTGTGCTCCGCTCACCTAGCACCATGCAGATACAGTGAAAGTAGGGTAACAACTTCCTAAAGTAAAGAAAACTTTCATGGTCGTTAACAGATCTCGAAAGTAGTGACACTCCGTAAAAAACGACAACCGGAAAAGCGCTACATCCAAATGAACTTGCCTGGGTGCTGATGTTTCTCAGTGGAAATAACAAATACCAGTTGTGCCATAGTAATATATTAATTTTGTTATAGATTATCCTTATTCCTCATGCTTGCTGTTCTATGAATTATTTTCAGCGGCATTGCTCCTTTTGAGCTCTGTGTAATATGGAAAATATTCTTACTAGTGTTTAGCATTAGATTTTGAGCTCAAGATTTCTATGATGTGTAGAAATCGAGAGCGAATAATCGAACTGTTTTAGTATAAATCTACTAGTCTTTCAAAACTGTCTCTAAATTCTCTTTACAGACACTTCGAAAACGCAAAGTAGCGGCTGACAGTTCGTTAACATCCTCACACTGCTAGGCTAGTCACTATCTACAACAGAATAGATAGTGAGTGGCGTGGTCAATAAGAGAACGGTATTTGTGATAGAACGCTAGTAGATTTGTACTAGACAATGATGGAAAGGCTAGACTATGGAACATGTTTTAGCTACCTGAATGTACCTCCCCCCCCAAAGTAGGGATAAAACAACGCTGCTTAATCCGACTTAACGTTCTGAAATTAAAAGTTTTTTCGTTTGTGTTTTCAGAGTTCAAGGAAATTCACCATCTTATGGACAATGTGTGTACAGTAAGTGGGCTTCTGCCTGGAAGGACTTACTCCTTCAGAGTGAAAGCAATAAATGAGGCTGGGGTAAGTTATAATTAGCCCGGTTAAGATCTCAATTCTCATTACTGTTTTCACACGTCTTCTATTACTATAGTGGTGAGAATTTAGTTCTAAGTTGAGTAAAATTTCTTGAGATGATCAGGTTTATGATTCTCATGTCTTTCCTACATAAATTTGTAATAAATAGGTAAGGAGAAGAACAAGAGAGCTTGATCGTCAAAGTTTGTTTCGGCAACATTACAGTGCTACCTACGCGCCTCACCTATGATAACCTTGTAGTTTTTGACAATTTTTTTTCACATTTTTTTTTGAAAACTTCCGTTTCAAATGGCCAATCAAACTGCGACAACTTGTCGCAGTTTCAAACGTTCACAGGTTGAGTCTTGAAATTCCCACGGAAGTGAACGATGAATTTGACAGTTTAGCATTTCCGCCCTCGACAGGTCCCATGTTTTGACTGGCCGGTTGACTTAAAATGTTGTCTCTAAAATGAAGACGATTGCTCAGCCCTTCGAATACGTTTTTTGGTTTCAACTTGAATAAAAGTAAACCTCAAACAAATTTTCTCTTCTCTTTTATTTTTTTTAATTTTTCACTGTACGTTGAGAATTTTGGGTCTTAAGAAGCGGAGTGCTTGCAGTGATATTTGATACGCATATTCTAGTCCAGGGATTCAGATTTTTTTTTTGTTTTTTTTGCACTCTATTTGTGTTCAGTTCTTACTGCCCCTCGTTCCATATCCTCTTATGTTAGTGTCCTAACCCATCCAACAGGTCGGCAAGGTATCAACGGTGTCGCACATCACTACAGCTCCAGGTCCCCCCGATGCTCCGAGAGCGCCTGACACTTTGTGCCGCTCAGCTGCTGCTATCATTGTTTCTTGGGAGGTGAGTTATTAGATAACACGGCACATCGCGCATTTGATACGTCGGCCTTGTTATATTGAGATCACTTAGGCGCCGTCCGCACTACGTCGGAGTAATTTGAAAACCAAGCTTCATTTCTACGGTTAAGCCTACCGTCCACACTAATCCGTCACGAAAACGGAGCTTTCCGGTAACGCTCCTTCCAACCGGAGAAATTTGAAAACGCCGGCTTTGCGTTTGAGTGTGGACGGAAAAACGTTTGAAAACAGAGCTCTTCGAAAACGATGACGTCACGATGATCATGTGACTTCCCGGCCCGAGTCTTTCTCAAACACAGATGCAAAATGGCGGGTAATTGTTGCATTTTCAAATTTTCTCCGGCGTACTGTGGACGAAAAACATTGGATACATTTTCAAATGAAACGCCGTTTTCAAATTTCTTCGACTTATTGTGGACGGGGCCTTAGAAGTCTGCGTGGGGCCTGAGACCCATACAGCCCGGNTCTGGAGCGCGGTTAGTACTTGTCAAACCCCAGCTGCCTCGCCTTCCGCCGTGACGTCAATAAAAGTGGTAAGAGAAAATGAACACCGTTTTGTATTTCCGGAGAATAATTGCTTACAAGTTTGTGATAACTATTAATATCATTTATATTTCAACGCAGTATGTTCCTGAAACGTATTTTAAAGACATCTTTAGTGCGTTTTCGGTACGACGTCGGTTCGTTTTCGGTTTATCTTCGGTACGTCTTCGAAAGTCCTTGGTATGTCTTCCTTATGAGTGCGACATCGGTACGACTTCCCTATGTCTTCGGTAATCTCCGATGCAACTTCGACAGGAGCCCATGACGGGCTCCTGACTTCGATGCATCTTTGGTAAAAGGATCGAACCATTTGAACCTAACCTTGACAGATTATTTCATCAATGTTGCAGATTTACAAACGAATATTTCAAGGCTTTTTGAACTCGATTTTTCTTCTTCCAGGTACAACAGTCTTCCTCTCATGTGCGTCTGCGCTGGCGACATCCGGGAAACAATGGCGCAGAAATTACGTCATATAACGTGGAAGTGGCGGGTTGCAAGAACATCAGTTTTGACGTGAACACCGGCGAGGGATCTGAAACCGAGGAAGAAACGCCTGTCATACAGGAGTATGACATCACTGAACTTCAGCCCAACACTCTTTACAGGTAGGAAGAAGGATTTTCTTTGTGAGTAATAACATTACTGTAGTCTATGAATCCACTGTTTGGTATCTCGCTGAGCACTATTTCGTTTTTTTTCCTTTTTCTTTAAATATTTTATTAGTGGTACTATTCAGTATTAGTACTATTATTATTCCTATTATTTCTTGTATGTGTCTATTATTCCACGTAGCTTGGTGTGAATACGCCAAAATTGTTATTTACAAATTAATTTCTCATATTTATTCTTCATTTCACTTTGTCTTAGATTAGTATTTTTGCTATTTGCTCTAAATATTCTTAAGTAAACTTGTAAACTCGTGACTTATTGTTACCACGGCCCGTGGTAACAACACCCATCCCTATTTAGTTTATTGACTAATGTGGTCTTCTCTCAGAATTTGTGTTGAACGCTCCTCCCTTAACCTGTGTTTACTGTTAGTCGTAACTCATTTAGGTGGCCTCAAAATTGCGCTCTTTCTAATAGTCATCATTTGGTACTTTGTTGTTCCTTTAGAATACGTGTACAAGCCGTGAACAAAATAGGTTGCGGTCCATTTAGGTGAGACTTGCTTTATTAATCATTGATTTGTTAGGTGTGTTAATGGGTTTTACTAATATATAAGGTCACTTCCTCAATGCCGTACACTGTACTCTACTGAAACATCGACGTAAAGAGCAAAGTAAGAATCCATGTGGGGGCCAAAGGAATAGCGTCTTAAGAAGAAGCTTTTTTGGTTCGTCACGTCTTCTTCCCTAGGAAAGATTGCGTGACGAAGCAAAGGACGTTTGCATAGTGCGCTGTTAAAGGAAACTCTGCGGGAAAAAGTCTGGACTCAAAGAAATCTTGTGGAAGGTTAAATTTACTAACTGCAAGTCGTGTTGATTTGTTTTTTAAAGCTTCATCGTTTAAAAGCAACTAAAGGTGATATGCTTTTGTAGCGTGAAGTAATTAGCAGTATTGTTATCTTCCCCCCACCCCCTCCCCGGGACTGATAGTGGCTTCACCACCAAGCATTGTGTTTAGTCGTCTCAGCACATAGTTATGTACCAAGGTGGTGTGCTTGTCGTGGGGGTGGGGGTGGGGGGGGGGGGGGGGGGCTGCATTACAAGACGGAAAAATGTCTTGTCCTAGAGAAGTTATGCAGCAATGGTAACTAGATGTCTTGCCCAACATGTTTACCGCAGCGCTTCTATCAAAGTTAGTTATGAGGCATACGACAGTCCCTGTCAGTTCCCTCATATGACAGTACCCATAAAATTAAGCAGCCGTTTTAATATTAATCAACAATGATTTAGATAAACATATACAGGCAAAAACTAACGATAGATAAATCCGACGTTTCGGCGACATCTTGGCGCCATTGTCAAGGGAAA